ATACTGTAACTAAATGGTATATCTATACTATAATCTTCGAAATCTATATTTCTTTAAAATGTTACTTATTATAGTTAGTTGCATGCTAACCTTCCAGAATACTACAAAAGAAAATTCACCTCTCTAAAATTCAGTACGAATTCTACAGAGACAAGTCCTTTGAGTGATGAAGTGAAGGGGGAGAAAACAAACTGATACTAATTTATATAACAACCCTGATATCATTAAATTCCATTAACCAACATCATATTCTATACAACTGCCTTAGCACATTAACATACTATGTTTACTGATAGGATATATAATGGTGAAAAGATAATAAGACATGTTTATTTACTGAAAAAATCTGACTCAATTTACCTGCAATTTCAGTAGCAAGTTGGGCTGCTTTCTGCTCAAATAAGTCTTTCATTTGCTTAATATTGAAAATTTCTGTTTGGGCTTCTTCTAATTGTTGTTCCAAAGACTGTAGCTCTACAGAAAGTAAAGAAGGTAATCAAATACAATTCTAATTACATTAAACTAAATTATAATTACTTGCAATCTTTTGCAGTACTATGAAAATCATCATGAGTCTTTTCCAGTTACAAAAAAAGTAGAGTATTTTAACATCTAAAAAAGCACAAGTTATAGTTTATTAACATTTTAACAAATGAAAGGGATATTTAGAATTACCCCCAATAACCTGGATGTATTTGTTTAAGGTTGTTTTGATTTCCCATTTCAATTATTTTTTTGTCTGTCAACTGACCAAAATGGAATATATTCTCCTTCTCTTATAAAATTAGCTATAAAGTATGATTAGATTAGAAATGGCTTAAGGAAGATTGAGGCCCCCCTTCCAAGACTAAGACTCAATAGGAATAAACGCTCTGATTGGTGACCACATCCGTCACCAATTAGGGGAAGTGAGGGAAAAACAGCTATGAGGCTGCGAGGTAAGCCCTACCACGTGCAATAGACTCTTGTGAGCCCGCATGGAGACCTGCTCAGCCAGCAATGTAACAAGACCTGGGGACTCTTCGGCCCAGAGTCAGTGACATAGCCACAGAGGACTAGAGTGGAGAGTGAAGCATCCAGCTGATAAGAAGAGAAGAAATATGCACAAGAACACCCACACTTGCAGATAATACCCACTTGACCTAGCTTCAATGACTGGAGGATCAGAGCTCAACCAGAAGAAGAAAGAAGAGGAAAAAAAGAGTAATCTGATACAATTTGATGAACTTCACCTACACCTATAGATGCAGTAGCTCAAAAGAGGGAACACATCTTTACAGCAAGGATCATTCCCAACCCCTGCATACACAGAGTAGACATGGATGGGCAACTTCAACAATGCCTACCCAAAATGGGAGGAAGGGGGACCAGCTACAAAGGCAAGGCAAGAAGTAACTGGCATACAAGCTTTTAACAGGGAACCTAGATCCAGAGGATGTGGAGGAAGTTAGAATCTCCACTGAGAAGTATCCAATCTGTCTGGGTGGGGCTGATGAAAGGAGATGAAGATAAGTCTCTTGTGATACAACAGTGAATAATTGTTATCAGGAATGACTGTGAGGGTTGGAAATGTAAAAGTAGATGTTTTGTAGCAAAAGGAGGGGAGTGATTGACTTTGCAGCCTGTCCGGGACCATGGACCCTGAGGGCCAAGGAAGTGTCCTCCTGACATCCCAGGTTCATAGGCTTTTACGAACTCACTGGATGGCTACCTCTGTGCAATTCTCTTTAGTCTTAATATTGTTCATTCTGTACTTGTTCTTTATGCTTCTAACTCCGGTAATTGTAGCTTATGAGAAAATGTTAATGTACGTAATGCCTCTTTTAATGGCTCCACTATAAATGTCACTGCCTTGAAAGTATTGGCAGTGTGTGGGGTCCTGGGAGCAGATCTTTTTGAGGAACAGGCTATAGCCACCTGGGATGAATGTCAGAACTGCACCTTATACAACTATTTAGTTATGTTTGATATTAACTTAAAACATGAGCTCTGGATGTCCACGTACAATAATAAAACCGACCTTCCCCCTAGAACTGAGGCAGTAAAACTTCCTCATATGACTCAGGACGAACAAGGGCAGGTTTGCTGGGATTATGCAGGGAGGTTCTGGAGAGGAACTGCCCGGGGTATTCACTTGAGGTGGAGTGGTAAATTCTGGGAATATTGGATTAAGGGACAATGGTGGCAGCCCCTTCAAACCGCCTCTGGGTATAATCAGCTTGACCTATATGTTCTCCTTCCTCCTGAAAGCTTAAGCCAGGTAACTGAAACAGCTTGACTCCCTTCAGACCTTTTAAATCCTTTTCACCTTTACCCATTAGAGATTAAGTGCTAAAGACATGTTAAGTAGCCTTGAGAAACCTCACATCCCTGCTTTAGGATTTAAGCCTAAAAAGTAATTTATAACAGTTTGCTTGAATTTTTGGAAAATTAAAAATGTTAGATTATTAAGACAATTTGTGATGTATATTTTAGAATTTGTTCCTGTAAATCATTGTGTCCTGTTTTGAACAATTAATCACATTTAATTTCTGTACCCTGTCTTATCTGAATAATCAATCACCTTCTTCCTTTGTGCAAAATCCCTCCCTGAAAAAATAAAAGACGAATGCAGATTGAATACTGCATGCATTACTGCTTGCGGGGCCATGCTGCTTGCCATGCAGGGTCTTTCTGCCGGTTTTGCATCCAGTCTGGTTTCGGAGTGTCTCTTTTTTTCTCTCATTGCGTCTTTGTGTATATTCTTTTCTATTTCTTTCGCCGCCAGACCTCCCTACTCCGTGAACCAAACTTCCCTGTCGAGGCAGGTCCCCGACAGCAGCCTAGGAGTGGAGGTCCCTAGGATGATCAAGGGAGAAGAGCAGAGAGTGGGACCCTACCCAGAGAAGCAGTGACACCAGAGATGGAGGCAGAGATGAAAACGTGGAGAGATGGAACGGCAGGGACTTTAGATTCAGAGAGGGAGAGGGAGTGTGTGCTGACGACCAGGGGGTAGGCTTGCAGGGCATACCCTTTGATTGGTTAATGATGCATGGAGGGGAATGTAACCACGGCAAGGAAATTATATGCGATAGGGTGAATGTAAAGCTAATGTTCTCCCATGTAAACTAACCATAATTTACAATAAAACATTAAAAAAAAAAAAATGATTGAGGACTTGAAATACCAAATAAAGTATGTAATCAATTCCTAATATTTCATTCTCAGAAAGAAAAGATATTTCCAATAGAAATTAAAAACAAGTACTAGGCTAGGGGCAGATTCTGAAACAGACTTTCAATTTCTCATGTGCAAATTCAAACTAAAGCTGAAGAAAACAAAAACAAGTACACAAGAGCCAAAATATGACCTTGAATATATCCCACATGAATTTAGAGATCATCTGAAGAACAGATTTGATACATTCAACATTAAAGACCGAAGACCAAAAGAGGTGTGGGATGACATCAAGCACATCATACAGGTAGAAAGCAAAAAGTCATTAAGAAGACAAGAAAGAAGGAAAAGGTCAAAATGGATGTCAGAA